TTGGTACAGAGCATACCAAAAGAAACCTTCAAGTGAGAAGTGAGAAAAGAAAAAGAACTCAGTGAGCTTCAAAAGAAATATTCTGAGAGTTCTAAAACAGGGCTAAACAGAGCATAAAAATCAAGTGCTTTACTTGATACATTCAAAGAGAGAAAAATACTCAGAGCGTTCAAGAGAAATCTTTCAAAGAGTGTTTCATCTTCATCAAGGAGACTAAGCGCATCATTGAAGATCAACTACAGAGTCTCGAAGTTGGAAACAAGACAAAACTTGTTTTGGAGCAAAACAAGAAAAGGGAGGAAAGTAGCACGGAGTTGTGAAATCCTGGATTGTCACATGGAGCTGTGAGATCCGAAGCAGCAGTGTCAGAGGCACTGGGCGTGATTAGTGCGGGCTTTGTGATCAAAGCACTAGATCACGGGATACGTTTCTACCGGAGTGTGGAAAATGGGGGGAAAGTAACGCGGAGTCGTGAAATCCTGGGATAGTAGCGTGACGACGTGAAACCCGAAGCAGCAGTGTGGTGTCACTGGCGTGATTAGTGCGGGCTTGGTGATCAAAGCACTAGATCACGGAAATTCATTGTATCTTGGAACCAAGAAGTGGTGGATATAGTGAATTGCTCTTGGAGATAAGAGCAAGTGGAGTAGGAGGATTACACCACCTCCGAACCACTATAATTGTCTTGTGTTCTTCACTGCTTTCTTTACTTACTGCTCTTTACATGCTCTACACGAGATATAACTCACAATCTCACACACACTTATCTTTATTTATTTCCGCTATGCACCACACTCTAACAATCTAGTTAAGAGTTTTGGTTTATCTCTGGCTTAGCAATTGTTGTGCTGTGCGAAAAAGTTTGAAAGTCTATTCACTCGCCCCCCCCCCCCCCCTAGACTTTCACCTTACCTCTTTTGGGACCAACAGAAAGAAAGAAAGCAAGAAAGAAAGAAAGAAGAGAAAAGTGAGTCAAGTGACTCAACAGAGATCATCCACAGAAAAGTATTCTTTTTAAACAAAGAGCGAGGGTATAAGTATGTATATATAGTATCATATCTTCATTTGTAGAATTACATTCATGGCATATCATATGTCTTATCTTGAGTATATGAGAAGTAAAGTATCATTCGTGGCATAGCATATGTCTTATCTTGAGTATTTGAGAAGTGAAGTATCATTCATTGCTGAGTAGTAGCATGAAAGCATGATCTTACTTGCTAGTTATATCTCTCATTCATTACCTATCTTAAAAGTATCAGCATGATTGCAAGAAGTGCATAGTAGCTTAATAGAAGAGTTGTATCACAGTTTCCAGTACATGTTATATGCAAGAGCATTATTTATGAGTTGATATCTGTTGATATGAGTATAGGTTGTTGAGCATATAGAAGTATATAAAGTATTCTTATTTGATATCTTTTGACTGAGTATCTTGATTGTTTATGTTCATACTCGAGAATGTGTATGAATGCAAAACGTTTTCCAACCTATATCTATAGTATTTTACAGGGTTGAGTGGCTTTATACTTAGCATTATATGCTAACGGGTTTATTTCCTACATGAAATCCACCATCACTCATTCACTGGGAGTCTTTTTTTAGTCGCATTCCTTTACGTAAAAGCTTTGTAATATCCATAGACACCTGGATACAGAAGAAAGTCCTCATTGCTCCATCAAAACTGCAGTTGTCAGTTTTCACTAGCGATCCAATAAAATTGCCCAATAGTTTGCAACACCATATACATTTTATATATTAATACTAAACTTAATATTATAAAAAATTAAATTGAAAATAACTTCACCAGTCAAGTCTGGTTAACCGAACTCGACATATAAAATTGGACAGAGGGAGTATTTATTGTTAGTAACAATCATTTTAACCTAAATAGTATCATAATTTCACATATGAATAAATATTATAATATCTGTTATAAGTAACAATTTATTTGTTTCAAATTGGTATCAAATTTTCTGTAATAAGTATTATGAATTCTATTATATGTAACAAATAATTATCATAGATTCGACCTGTCTCACTGATTATTATCTATAGGGTCTCACACAAGCGTGGCTCGCTCTTACATGCAATACATTGAGAATATAATACCGGCCATTATGTGAAATAGATCTATTATGCTATTTGGTTTGGATTTTACATTTAGATTGGGAATAGCCATTCGCAAGGTCCCCTCGGCATTAGTTATTCTTAAGCCATTCAGAATAGCTATTTATTACAGCCTACCCCCAGTTGGAACTCCGGGGTCGTTGCCGATGCACCGCCGTGCACAGGGGAGTCCGGCGGATTTCGGCCGTGTAGGCTGGGAGGTATTGTCGGAAGGTGGGGGTGACGTAGACATGACGCAGCCACCGTTGGCCGATTCGGGGGATAGAATTACAGCCTCCGTTAAGCGGCGTCGGGCGGCTGTGGAGGATACAGGGCATGAGAATTTACCTGGGGATGATGAGGTGATGGAAAACGATGTGTCAAAAAACTTGCATGCGGCGGGGCGGGTTTTGGTTCCCAGACCTGCCCAACCCAATGAGTACCCTCAGTTGGAATTGTCGTGGCTTGGGCAATCCACGTACAGTTTGTGAAGTAGTGGACATGGTGTCCCGGAAGAAGCCTGATTTTGTTTATGTTATGGAAACCAAGGTAGGAAGAAGTCATGCAGAACGTATTCGTGTTACTATTGGTTTTGATGGTTTATTTTATATTGATCCTGTTGGTGTGGGTGGTGGACTAGCTCTGTTTTGGAGAAAGAATAACACTGCACGTCTTATGTGTTATTCAAAGAATCATGTGGATATGGAAATTAGTATGCCAGGGTTCCCAAGGTGGAGGATGACATGTTACTATGGTTACCCACAACGGAATCAGCACAGTGAAGCATGGGATTTTATTAAATCACTAGCACCTAGATCTGACCTACCCTGGGTTATGATTAGTGATTTTAATGATCTCTTGTTTCATAATGAGAAGAGGGGTGGAAACCCACATCCGAACAGTCTGTTACGGGGCTTTGGGGAGGCTATTGAGTCCTGTGGCTTATCTCAGTTGCCAATGAACGGGTATCAGTTTACCTGGGAGAAAGGAAAAGGCACGACTAGGTGGATAGAAGAGAGGTTAGATAAAGTGTTAGCCACGAGTACTTGATGTGATGATGTAACTGCGACACGTGTGACTAACATCCTAACACGGAAGTCTGATCATTCCGCTCTCTTTCTGGGCATACATGATCCTATGGGGTGGGGGAGGCCACATAGGAAGTTCCGTTTTAAGATGGCATGGATATATGATGAGGGATGCAGAGCTGTGGTAGAGGAAGCACGGGGAGAGGGGAGGGCGGGCTGCAAGAGTGCATTGCGCATTGCGGCAGTCGCCTTTCTCGCTGGGGTGGAGACCGTTATCATAATTTTGGTGAGCAGATTGAACAGCTTCGTAAAGAGCAGCTGTATCTGAAGGGGTGCACGGACCTGGACTGATTGGCAGAGTATCAACGCCTAGAGGAAGCGTTAAGCAGAGTTGAGGCCCAAGAAGATGCGTACTGGAAACAATGGGCAAAACAGCATTGGCTGAAGAGTGCTGATACAACCACGAAGTATTACCACAGGTATGCCTCTCACCGTAAAAGAAAAAACTCGTTATTTAGAATTTTGAATAATGATGGGGATTGGGTGGAGGGTGAGAATATGAGGAGGGTTATCCTGGATTATTTTGCCAATATCTTTTGTTCTGCTAGTCCTACCGATGGTTCAGATTTGTTTGAAAATGTTACTCCCAAAGTCACACAGGCTCAGAATGAAACACTCCTTCAGCCCTTTGGAGTGGATGAGGTTAGAAGTGCTCTGTTTGCAATGTTCCCAGATAAAGCACCGGGGCCTGATGGAATGAACCCGGGTTTTTATCAACACTTTTGGGATGTGGTAGGTGGGGATCTCTCACAGTTTATTGTTAATTGCCTGAATACACGCATGTTTCCTACTATTTTGAATGAGACGAATGTGGTGTTGATTCCGAAGAAGTCTACACCAGAGCGGGTTACGGATCTCAGACCCATAGCACTAAGTAATGTGGTGTATAGAGTAATGGCTAAGATGATTAGAGAATGAATCCCTTAATGGAAAAGATTATATCTGACTCACAGAGTGCTTTCATACCAGATAGACTCATTACAGATAATATTTTAATAGCTGCAGAAGTAGGCCACTATCTCAATAGGAAACAGTGTGGAATGGTTGGTTGGGGGGCTCTCAAGTTAGACATGGCAAAGGCATATGACCGAATGGAATGGCCTTTTTTGCAAGGGATGCTCAAGGCATTGGGATTTGATGATAGGTGGGTAGAGCTTATTATGCTATGTGTAACCACTGTGTCATATAAGTTCCTCATAAATGGCTCAAGTAGTGAACCAATAATGCCTACCCGTGGTCTCAGATAGGGGATCCTTTATCACCATATTTGTTTATTATCTATGTAGAGGGGCTATCTCTGTTATTGCAGCAGGCCCAAAGTAGTGGTTTAATTCATGGTTGTAGGGTGGCATGTGGGGCACCACCAATATCACACTTGTTCTTTGCTGATGATAGCTTATTGTTTTTCAAAGCGAAACAACAAGAGGCTACTGAGGTAAAGAATTGTTTGGAATTTATGAGAGTTTATCTGGACAAATCGTTAACTATCACAAGTCAAGTATCTGCTATAGCAAGAACACAAATGCAGAGACCAGGGATATGGTGGCACAGATTTTAGGTGTGGAACAGGCCCCTAACTTTGGAAAGTATCTGGGTTTACCAGCTTTTGTGGGGAGAAATAAGAAGGCAGCCTTTGCTTATATTAAGGACAAAATCAGCTAGAGAATTGGTTCGTGGAATAAAAAATTACTGACTCAGGCTGGTAAAGAAGTATTATTGAAAAGTGTAGCTCAAGCTATGCCTACCTTTTCAGTGAGTGTTTTTTTATTGCCTGCATTTGTTTGTACAACTATTGAGAGAACGATGAATCGTTACTGGTGGGGAACAGGGACTGATACTAGCATCCACTGGAAAGCGTGGGATAAGCTGTGTATTCCCAAGAAATATGGAGGCCTGGGTTTTAAGGATCTCAATGCATTCAATCTGGCAATGTTGGGTAAGCAAGCATGGCGATTGCTTACTAATACTAATTCACTAGTCTCTCGAATTTATAAGTCGCGGTATTACCCCAAACACTCATTCTCTGAGGCAGAGATTGGAAATAATCCTAGTTATTATTGGCGAAGTATTATGGCTGCCAAGGGATTAATAACTAGTGGAGTGAGACGACGAATTGAGAATGGGAAGTCTACATTAATATGGGACCACCCTTGGCTGCATGATGATTTAGATCCAATGATTCAAACAGAAATGCCACCTCAGTTAGCAGGAGAAAAAGTTGGGGGCTTAATTGATCAAACAACAGGTACATGGGATCCTCATATATTATCTGATATTTTCAACCAGGATGATATACCTAGGATATTAATGATCCCGGTCTCGCTGGAATATGAGGATATATGGTATTGGTATGGTGACTCAAATGGGTGCTATACTGTCAAGAATGGATACAGATGTGTGGTGGGCACTTATGAGAACAACTATTGTTTTGATAAGTGGAGCACCCTATGGAAGCTTAAAATTCCCCCAAAATGGAAGACATTTTTATGGAGAGCTATAAATGATATCCTCCCTACCACTACCAACTTAATTATAAAGAGAGTGGATATTAGCCCGATATGTGCCATGTGTGGACTTATGGATGATACTATGCACTCATTGGTCTTATGTGGTTATGCAAGAGCCATATGGGACCAATCTAACCTTCCACTCCCCCACTTTGTGACAAATATTTTCCAAGAATGGTTTAGAACAAATCCTAAATGTTCTAGATACTAATGGGATATTATTTGCAGCTGCAATTTTATACAACATTTGGAGAGCCCGAAACGAAGCAGTCTGAAATTCATGCCTACCCATGCCAAAGTGACTCCTGGCGATGGTTGTGACGTCAATGCACACGTGGCAGCAGGTCCACCACGCCACCATGCCAGCTCCGGCCGAAACACATACTGCCACCATGCAGCAGCCGCCTGCCATAATGCCATGGAATACCACTGCCGGAACAGTAGCAGCGCCGCCAGTCCACTGCGTGGGTTTAGGCAACAGATGGGCTCGGCCACAGTCGACGCAATCTTGTTCGACGACCATGGGGAATATATATCGGCGTACAGTGCGCCCTTGCACAACTGTTTATCACCACTTATGGCGGAAACTATGGCGTGCAAAGAAGTGTTGTCATGGCTCAGAACACGAGGAGAAACATCAGTTGAAGTTTACACGGACTGTCAAACACTGCAAGCATATCTGTCCTCTACGGAGACTCGGTCTCGATCCTATCTTGGTTATGCACTGGATGCTTGCAAAGCTTATATGGCTACGTTTACTTACTGCTTAGTTAATTTTATTCTTAGATCGCAGAATTATTTAGCGCATACCTTAGCTTCTGATGCTTTTAATTTTGATTTGCCTATGTACTGGGATGCTATCCCACCCGACTCAGTTTCTTATTATCTATAAATGCAACCATAATGGTTTCCTCAAAAAAAAAAAAAAAAAAAACTATTTATTATTATTCCAAAAATACTCTTAAAAATCCTTTATATTTATAATAGCTTCTTTCAAACACCTCTAATTAATTTGTTAGATTTCCATCCTCACTATAATACGATAATATGGTTTGCAGTTTCATATATGTGTGTATATATGTAGCTTATGTTTTCATCTTTCTCCCACGTCACTCCCCCCCCCCCACCCCTACCCCCACCCCAGTTCTCTACGTTTGTATATATTTATCTATTTCTATGTCGATTTTTTTTCGTCCAAATGTTTTGTATGTATATATTCATATATATATATATATATATATATATATATATATATATATATATATATATATATATATATATATATATATATATATTGGTTCCTGTGAGGTCAGGTCTCCCCGTGCGATCAGTGCGGCAGGTATGCATAAATGTACCATACAGTGTTCGAAAATACACCAGAATGAAATGTAAAAAAATATACCACACAACAAAAAAATACACCATACATAATGGTGTATTTACGAACACTGTGTTGTGCATTTATGCATACCTAATGGTGTATGCCACACTGACCGCACGGGAAGACCTGACCTCACAGGAACCTGACCCTATATATATATATATATATATATATATATATATATATATATATATATATATATATATATATATATATATAGAGAGAGAGAGAGAGAGAGAGAGAGAGAGAGAGAGAGAGAGAGAGAGAGAGAGAATAAGGCTCATATGCGGCAGTGGCTTTAGGTGCGGCGGTGCGGTCATATCAGCGTCGTCCATTTTGCTTAATCTAACGGCAACGGCTAATTTCCGAAGATTTAAAGATTTAAGCGCGTCCTGGTAAGTGGGGGGTGTTATGGTAATTGTAGTGGTTATTTTTATTGCTCGCTTGTCAGTATACACCAACAGTGTTAACAAAAGACACCAATAGTGTTAGAAAAAAGCACCACAATGAAATGCACAAATACACCAAAAAATACACAACACACCTAAAAAATACATCATATAACTCACCATCCAATGGTGTATTCTGAACACTGTGTGATGCTTTTAGTCATACCTAGTGGTGCGTTCTGGTGATGCGTATCTAATTTGTGCATGTTTTTTTGGTGTGCATTTTATAACATGGATGGTGTATATTCGTATAACTATTAGTGTTGTCGTACTGACCGCTCGGGAAGGCACCAACATGAATTCTCAAATACACCACAGTAAGGTTAATAATGCACCAATAATGAACATAAAACACATAACACTATGATTTGATATATTCTGGTGTCCAATGACGACTTTAACCTTGCAGTTCGCGTACTGTGAGAACGCGCGCGGAAATATCGGAAAAACCTGGATGAATGTGATTCGTTTGATTTATCTAATCTAATGGCCTACAATTAACCGCACTGCCGCACTTGAACCTTCCTATATATATATATATATATATATATATATATATATATATATATATATACACATGTAGTACACGAACCGGAACCAATTTCATGTATAATATATTGTTTCGTTCTTCGGTAGTACTGTTTTATTTTTCGATCTCTTTTCATTTATAATTGCTTTTGAAAGAATATAATTATTTTTATTATGTTATGTTTTTTTTTTTATGGTAGGTAAATATGTATATTTTTTTTTTTTTGAATGCTACTAGCTCTATTATATTGTAGTATCTGTTCATATACTTTCTCAACCTACTGAAACACAAAGAGCCAATAACGCCTTCACTGAGGCTCGAAATCACAACCTTCCCGTACTTGGAAGTCCACCCCGGATACCATTAGACCACATAGTCCTGGTAGGTAAATATGTATATATTTGTATGTATTTTATTTATTGGAATGCTATTTCTTTAATTCGATTCTCTAATCCAACCAAACACGTGAATGTGATTCATCTTATAATTTATGTTCATTCCTTTTGCATGTTTATTTTATTACGGAGTTACTTCTTTTTCTTTCTTTTTTTGAATGCTACTGATTCTATTACAATATAATATTTGTTCTCAACTTATTGAAGCATAAAGAGTCAATAATACTTCCATTGAGGTTTAAATTCACAGCCTCCAATATAGGAGTCTAACCCAAATGCCATCTGAACACAAGTTACTTGGCACTGCACGGAGTAATTTCTTATTCCATTCCTATTAAACTTTTATTATATTCTATTTATTTTTTATTCTTTGAATCAAACACCCGTTATTGTATATATTGTATAGCTATTCCGTATGTGCTGTTAATAAGCTATAGCATGCAACAATTAATCGACACGTAAAGGTGCAACAAACTATGTTTGGGTCGGAGGAGTCGACAGGTGGGGGGTGAATGACAGAATGATAGATGATAAAGTTGATGCAATCATGCCCCAATTTAGAAGCTAGTGGGGTGAAATTCCAATATATGCTAAAAGTTAATATGTCTATCATTGCTTTCACAATGAAATATGGATGTTGCTTTTATGGTGACTTTGGTAGGGCTTTCAGGGAAACACCAAAGACGTGTCTACCCCTGATAGACTACCAATTGGGTGAGACTAGGTTGTTGGGTTTTGTATCACCTTCAATTCAATCTTTCCGATATGATTGTATCTATCTTTTATCCCGTGAAGTAGTCAATTTAATCAATTGCGTTAGGTTTCCGTCTTAACTTAATGAAAAATTCAAAAGCTTCATATTAATAGAGGGGTAAATTAGAAAATTCATATTTTATTTTCCTTTTAATATTAAAGTCATCGTACCATCATTTTTCACTTTACAGTCTCTTATTCTAAGATTTTTCAACTCCAAAAGCATTTCAATAACCCTCTTATGACTTATTAGGAACCTGAGTTTCGTATAAGGAATCTATGACACAGTATAAACAAGGGAACACTTAATCACCGTCTTGAGACGTGGAAACGCACTATCCTAAAAGTTTATGATTTTCATTACTAAGCAACAAGGGTAATCAAACTAAAACTTTTGAGATACAAGATGTCAAACTTCTCAGGTTGCTTTTATTATAAATTCACTAACGGGAGTAACTTGAGATAATTTTTAGTATGTAACTCTACAGTAGCTTAATCAAGAATCATATCGTATATTCTATATCAACATATGAAGATTCTATTATATATAGTCATCATCATACGTCTCCTCCAATAATAGAGGGTTTTTGAGTTTTCCATCAGGTTGAGACCAAAATTTAACATTGGGAACCAAATGTGTCATTTCGCTCATAACTGAGGGGTAAAAAATTAATACGGTCATACCCAATGGTGTGTACTAGGTAAACCCTTTTTTGTGACCATAGTCGGTAAATGATCAAAAAGAGGTAAATCAGTCTAGGTTGATCATAGCTAATCGGCTTAAATCAATGAGGCTAACAGCTTAGTCCGCTTCCGTTGAGAGTCTAAATTGTAACCTTATAATTATCAAATCAACAATTTCATCAATTAGCTAGGCATGAGAAAAACAAGTATACTATTTGAGAATATAATTGGTGGGTGAATTAGTAAGACTTCAAAATATAATTGTGGTATGACTTTAGTGATAGCTATTGAGTGAGGGGAATATATAAGTGGATGTTGAATTTCGAGAGTCAATTGGCTCCGAAATATCTTATTGCAGGCTTAAAACCACAACTTGCTTGACTGAAATGATAATGTAGATGATGACGTCGAGTGACTAAGAAATGATAATGTAGATGATGACGGTCGAGTGACTAAGAAGTAGGGGGTGGCAATGAGTCTTTTTTGAATATTACTTATTTTGTTAGAACGCAGTATGTGTTTATAATTACTTTCTTAATTTACTGAAACACAAAGAGTCAATATTAGAGTGAATTCTATTTTTGGTCATACTGTTATAGGGGCGTTTTCAATTTCAGTCCACTTTAATTTTTTTTGTCACTTTACAATCACTGTTATTGAATGTGTTCCACTTTTAGTCCACCGTTAATATTTTCGTCAAGAGGCCGTATAATCAAAGGGTATTTTAGTCTTTTTATGTTTGTCTCTTCTCTTTTAATCCAGACGCTTTGTCCTCCTCCTCCGATATTTGAAGATGGCTCTTCGAACATCGAGAATGGGAAGCCAAAGCTACATTGTTTCGTTCGTTTCAACATGGGTCGGCGAGGTTTATTAGGTTTTAGGTTTAATGTTCTCATTTCTTTAGTCAAACATAGTCTTGGATGAGAAGAAATGTTAAAATACCCCTAGATTACACGGCCTCTTGATGGAAATACTAACGGTGGGACTAAAAGTGGAACACATTCAATAATAGTGGTTATAAAGTAGCAAAAAAAATTAAGGTGGACTAAAATTGGAAACGCCCCTATAACAGTAGGACAAAAAATGGAATTCACTCTCAATATTATCTTTACAGATGTTCGAACTAACAACCTCCCATATGTAAAAGCAACTTGGTGGCTTGGTGCCACTACATTCACCATCTAATTTATCTTATACTTTAATTTTTTCCACCCAGATACTCTCACCCTTGACCTACCTTAGGTGTCAAAATTCACCCTGCCCCACCATGTGGAGTGCCCACTACAGATACCCACCATTTATTATTTTATAAAAAAAATTTAAATAATATTTAAATTACTTACAGATAATAAAATATAATTATAATGCTTAATTGTTATTTTTTTTAAAAAATAAACATATTAATTTAAAACAAAAAATACTAAAAAGTTAGCAAAAATTATAAAAACTTTTTTATTTTAACTACATGAGTAAATTACAAGTGCAATGCACAAATAGATTTTTTTAAAAATTATTGTATCAAATTTCACGTGGTAAGCGGTCAAGGTACTTAATACGATCAAGTCAAAACAAATAAAGTCTTTTATTGATCAAGAAGGACCTGATACAATCTAAGTGATTATCTCGAGGGCCGACTGACTTCGGCCGGGCAGCTCTGTAGATAATCTATCGATCGTTCCAAAAGTCCCTCACACTATAGCCGCCGTGGGTACTTATAGCCGCTAGGCCGAAGACACAGCTCCGGCCGGCCGGCATGTAACCCACGTAGCATCCACGCGTCATCATCCCGCGAGCCCTCTCTGTTAACGTGTAACACTGCCATGTGCCTCTTCTCGAGATCCTTAACAAGGATAGCTAACCGGGTGGCGAAGTCGGTCGGTCGGGAAGTCCACCAGTCGGGTCCGACCGTCTTCTATAAAAATATCCGACCTGTCAAACCTGCACAAAGAACAAGAGAGACCGAGCCATGTCGGTAGGGATATATCCTACCAAAAGCCCCCCCAGCCCAGGCCTTTTTGACCGCTCGGTAAAAAACGGGACGGGATGATAAGGTCCAATCACTCGGCCTGCCATCCCGACCGAACAGCTGTCGCTTGTCGTGCCACGTGTCGGCCTCTGCGCGCCTCGGAGTCTGTAACGGTCACGTCACGCAAGTGGGCCGTTTTCCGCCCAAATGTTTTCCTATAAATAAGCCCTTCTGAGGTTCATTTGAACTTTTACCAACTCGTGAAAGGCAATCGGAGCATCCCGAGCGAATTGCACTTTGCGTCGATCGAGCAAACAACGTTCAACCACTTCAATCAATCAGCAGTCGATCGGTAAGCTTTTTTTTCCCTGCTCTTTTCTTTTATCTTTTACTTTTACTAGCACAACAGCTAAATTCGGCGGCCAACTAACCCCGACCGAACCCTAACCGACCCCACCTGCAGAAAACACGACCGTCTCCTTTAGGAATTGTCGAGCTCAGACAGTCAAAATATCTCGGGAGCGGATTACGACAATGCGGTCGAGGAACTTAGCGCGGAAATAGAAATAGAGGCGTCCTCGCCTGAAGTCATCGAGGTCGTTCAACGACCATCCAAGCGCCACCACTCTTCCAGCTCAGAGAGCTCATCAGGGTCGAGTGGTTCAGATAGCTCGAGCAGCGGAAGTGATAGTAGCAACGGCACCTCGACAAGTGGTCGAGGTAACCCGGTCGGGGACGTCCGGGAGACGCCCACACGGACGATAGGAGCTGACCCCGGGACTTCTACTTCAGCCACCGATCGGGAAGCCACACCAGACCCGATCGAGAAAGAGTCGACCGCACCGGCCGTTAGACTGGAGCTAATCTTCCTCAACAACGAAAGCGTCGATCAGCAAGAATGCTTGCTGACGACTGGTGAAGCGGCAAGGATTGCTGAAAGGCTGAACGGTCGGGTTCGATTCCACACCCGCTGATCACTAGGAAATATAAAGGAGCGCCACCAAGGAAAGTGGATCAGGATGCACTATGACTCCCTGTTGGCCCCGATCACTTTCCCTTTCTTCGGCCTCTTAACCGCGTTCTTGGGCTATTACCGAGTACTACCCGCCCAAATATGCCCGAACGCCCACCGAATCCTGGCATGCTTTCCCCAGATATGCGCTCGGCATGAGGTCACATGCTCGATGGAGCTCTTCAACTTCATCTATCAAGTCAAGCCCTTGGCGACAAAGTATGGGGGCGGCTTCTTGATGATCCAGTCCCGAGCCGACCTGTGTACGATCAACAATCTGCCCGGGAACAACCGCGGATGGAAGAATCGCATCTTCTCAGTCGAATACGACCCTTGGATCCTCCTGGTCGACCGGACATGGGGAACGCATTACACGAAGCAAGTCCAGCTGGTCGAGACCCAAGCCCTCCGAGATGCAGTCTTTCGGATCTCCAGTGAGATCCATGAATATAAGATATTCCGGTCGAGGGAAAGCAATGACGCCGCCCGACTGCCGCCACCTCAATACGACCTAGAAGAGAAGTACAAACCCCGACCAACGGGCGTATCGATAGCGGTAGCGGTTTCTCGAGCTAAACCGACCAAGAAAGGTCTAACACCCATCTAACCTTCCCGACCAGACTTTTCCCGATTGAAACTTTAATTTGCTTATTTTAACCATGTGATTTTATTTGCAGTGATGGGTCCTCGACGCAACTTCTAGTCGGGTAGTGCACCCCGAGCCAAAATATCGCTCGGGAAAAAGAAGGACGATGCCGGATAATTCGGCAATAAAGAAACCGAGGGCGAGCCTATCCCGACCGCTCGCCCACTTGGCACTTCCACGTCAACCACGGCTGAAGGGGACGTGGTCGAGGACACAACGACTGATGTCTTGGTCGCCCGAACGGTCGGCCATAAAGGGAAAGAGAAGGCGACCGTGGCGGAAACGGACGAGGGGGGCGCACTCAAGCGTTGACAGAAACAAAACAGCCACCCCGAGCGGGGCTGTCACGGGCAGTGACTCCATCCTCACCCGGATCGGCAATCTTAAACTGGTCAAGGAGGACCTCAGCAAGCTTACGGCCGGGCAGGTGGCCGAGAAAAGCGGCCATGACTTGGTCGAGGTATAATTTCATTACTCCTTCAATTTCATAACTATAGTCGCTCGAGCTAACGTGCTTCCTTTTGCAGCTATCCCGAGCGATCCAACATCTTCAGCGTCAAGCACTGTTGGCCAATGAGGCCAACGCTCTGAAGAAGATCGTCGATCAGTGAGGGAAAGAAGTCACCCATCTCCAGGACAAGCTGAAGTCGACTGAGAAGGCTTTGGCCATTGCCGAGAAAGCAGCTGGGGCGTCCCTGAAGGAGGCGTTCGACCTCAAAGCCCGATTGGGGAACCTTGAGGGCCTCGCGAAGTTTCTTTGCCGCGATGAGGCGTCGGGTGAAAAGTTCATCAAGGAAGTGATGAAGACCAAGGTCGAGGAGGACTTAATCTGGCAGTTCGGGCACTGGGCCTTCAAGTCCGGTCAACGAACCATGCGGGAGGAGACCCGATCCATCATGGAGGAGGTCTTCGAGGGCGACGACTTGAAGTCCGTGTTGTCGACCCTTCCGGATGAGGTTGCCGACCCCGGCCCGGCGCCCTTCACCGAGCCATCTGATGAGGACGTGGTCGAGCCTAGTAACGCCGAGAAGGACGCGTACAAGGTCGTGTAGTTGCCGACCGTGTATATTTGATTTTTGCTTTTTTAAAGTGCACTCTGTCGGGAGCCCGGTCCCGTTTTGTACCGGGCACTTTTATCGTTAAATAAAATTAAGTTTTTATCAAACTTTATCTCGTTCGACTTTTGCGATTTCATCTAATCACTTCTTGGTCGTTCTTTGCCCGACCCATTGGCCCTCCGGCCTTCTTTTGACCGGGCATTTGCCCGACCGCTTGGCCCTAATGGCCCTTTCCCCTAGCCCCCACACTGCCGTGCTCATGAGGCACGAGTGAATGCGACAGTGGAAAGAAGTAATGCTGATCGGGTATGTATCTTGAAGCTCTAATTTCCCCGATCGATGGCGTGACCCGAGTGTCTGCCGAAGATGAGCGTTACAAGCCGAGCGTTGTTAGTTGTCCGGCCAGAATGTAAAATGACTTCTCAAAGCCAATTAGGTGTATACCCCTATCGATCGGGACCGAGGGAGAGGTGTGTACCTTTATTAGTTGTTACTGAAATTAGGCCGCGGTATATTTCAGGCAAGTTTAAGCGACATTGTGGTCGTGGGGCTTACGCCCCTCTTCGATTGTTGATGTTGAGTCTCGATCGGGCGAAGCACGAGCAAGACCAACTTCTGAAGTAGATTTAACTAAAACTACATAACATATAACTGATGCGCAAACTGGTCGGGCCGCCGTGTACAAACGGTCAAGCAATCACCGATCGATATTACATTACTGATTCCCGTACGTAGACAGTCAAATATTTACAAACTTAACAAAGACAATTAATGATGGACGTGCCCACTCGCAGGTTGAGCCCCCACTCCATCTACAATTATGTAATTACATTAATGTCTAAACAGTACAAGGTTCTCCGAGTTCCATGTGCCCCTGATCAATCTCCCGGTCGTTGTCTCCAACCGGTAAGTACCCGGGCGGACTACAGTCGTGATGACGTATGGACCTTCCCAATTTTGGGCCAATTTGCCTCCTTCTAACGGTTAGCTCGCTTCCCGACGTCGTAACACGTAGTCTTCGACCTGAAAATATCGAGGGTTGACCTGAACGTCTTTCGTGCTCTTGACCCTCTTCTGGTACACGGCCATACGCCGAGCGGCCATCTCTCTCTTCTCTTCAACGCCGTCTAGGTCCACGGCCATGGAGTGTTCATTTTCTTCCGCGTTGTAAGAGCGCTCTCTTGCGGTCGGGATCCATGCTTCGATCGGTAGTCGAGCTTCAGCCCCATAGACTAAAGCAAATGACGTTTCCAACGTTGCCTCCCTCGGGGTCGTGCGATAGGTCCAAAGCACATATGGTAGTTCATCAGCCCAACTGCGTCCGGCCGAGTGTAATTTCTTCTTCAACCCCTCCAAAATTGTACGGTTGGCATTTTCAACTTGACCATTGCTCTGGGGGTATGCCACCGACGATCGGATTGAGGTTGTCCCGATCGTTGCTAAGAAATTCTGGAAATACTGGCTCACGAACTGCCGACCGTTGTCATTGATCAGATGCACGGGCACACCGAACCGGGAGATAACATTCCGCCATAGAAACCTGGCGCACTGCTTTGAGGTGATCGTGGCTAAGGGTTCCGCCTCGATCCACTTGGAGAAATAATCGAAAGCCACGATGACGAAACGCCTCCGACCGGCTATCTGTGGGAAAGGCCCCAAAATGTCCACCCCCCAACGAGCAAAAGGAATTGCGGTCGAGACCGGTTGATAGAACGTGGCCAGTCGACCAGGCATCCGAGCATATAACTGGCATGTTTCGCACTCTCTTGTAAGATTGTCACAATCAAGCTAAATAGATGGCCAATAGTACCCGATCACCATAATACGGCGAGTGACCGACCTCCTTGATGCGCCGAGCAAATGCCCGAGTGCAATTCCTTCATCACAAGGTCTGCTTCGAACGAAGTCAAACAACGCATGGACCTCCGTACGACCGCCTATACAATCGGCCTTCTTGAACTTGAAACCTTGGTGCTCTTAACTTGGCCTCCCGGGTGCGTTGAGGGTCGTCTGGTAACCGACCGTGCTGGAGATATTCCATTAAATCCGAAATCCAAGTTTCCTCGACCGGCTGGATAGGTGCGACCGGCAATCGGTGTATGCTATGTCTCGGGATCATCAGGATCCAAGCTATCTTGGACATGTGTTCAGGGGCATCCTGTGCCAATTTAGATAAGATGTCAGCATCGGCATTGTCCAGTCGTGGAACATGGTGAACGGTGTACCCCCAAAACAAGGTTAACTTCTCCATGGCGAGATCATGGTAAGCTTGTAACCACTCTCCATTGACTTCGTAGTCGCCCAAGACTTGTCCGACCACTAGTGCAGAGTCAGTCTGAGCCCGGATGTATTCAGCCCCCAAGTCTCGAGCGCACTGTAGGCCATTGACAAAGGCCTCATACTCGGCTTCATTGTTGGTTGGGTGGAACTGGTACATCAATGCATAATAGACTTTGAAACCCTCCGGGCTTGTAATTACGACTCCCCCACCAGCTCCTTTCTTGCTGCTCGATCCATCGGTGGCCAACGACCACCACGCCGCCTCAGGATCCTCAACCACCGGGGGTCGTGTTTCCCGAGCGGTGCACTCGACCAGGAAATCTGCTAAGGCTTGTCCCTTTATAGCTGGTCTTGGTCGGTATTCAATTGCGAACTGAGTCAGCATTAACGCCCACTTGACTAGGCGTCCAAAAGAAGCAGCGGTGCGGAGAACGGCCCCGATCGGCTGATCAGTTAACACATGAATGGCTCGACCTTGAAAGTAAGGGGCCAGCTTCTTTGCCGCTATGTACAGAGCATAGACTATCTTCTCTAGCCGGGAGTAACGGAGCTCGAGACCATGGAGCGCATGGCTCATATAGTAAACCGGTCGTTGCACTCCCTCCGAATCTGTTCAGCATAGGACCGCACTTACAGCTCGATCAGAAACGGCGAGATAGACATCCAGTTCTTCTCCGACCTCGGGCTTTGACAACACGATCGGTGACATCAGATATTCTTTGAGCTCGTCAAAGGCCACTCGGCACTCGTCATCCCACACGAACCCATTAACTTTGCGCAATACCTTGAAGAATGGTAAGGCGCGCTCGGCCAACTTTGAAAGGAAACGGCTCAAGGCTGCTAACCTGCCGGTTAACTGTTGAACCTCCCGAACGGTCGTGGGTGGTTGCATATCAAGAATAGCTTTGACCTTGGCAGGGTTGGGCTCGATTCCTCTCTTTGTCATCATGTAGCCGAGGAACTTTCCCGTTTGCACTGCAAACGTGCACTTGATGGGATTCAATCGCAGCTGGTATTTCCTCATGATTTGAAAACATTGCCGTAGATCCCGAGTGTGGTCAGCTCGATCCCGACTCTTTACCAACATGTCGTCGATGTAAGCTTCCATCGTTCGGCCTAATAGGTCCGCGAAGAGCATATTGACCATCCTTTGATAAGTTGCCCCTGCATTGCGGAGGCCGAACGGCATCACTCGGTAACGATATAACCCGTCTGGTGTGACGAAGGCTGTCTTACTCTCGTCCTCGTGGTCCATCATGATTTGATGATACCCTTTAAACGCGTCCATAAAGCTCATCAACTCAGCCCCGGCCGTCTCATCAACCATTTGATGGATGCTCGGCAATGGGTAGGGATCTAACGGGCACGCCTTGTTCAGGTCAGTGAAATCTATGCACATTCTCCAGGATGGAGGCTTTGGGACGAGTACAATGTTGGCCACCCATTCGGGGTAAGTGACCGGGCGGATATGTTCAATGGCCGCCATCTTCTTCACTTCCTCTCGGATAAACTCCCGGCGATCGGATGATAGATGCCGAGTCTTCTGAACGACCAGTTTCGCCGCGGGATCTGCAGCTAGCTTGTGGCAAATTACAGTACGATCGATCCCGGGCATGTCTTCAGGCCCCCATGCAAATATATCAGCGAATTCCCGGAGGATCGCTAACACTTCCACTCGTAGCTCGGGGGTGAGGGCCCGACCAATCTTGATCTTCCTCTCCGGTCGTTCCTCAGATAAAGGAACCTCTTCAATCTCTTCGGAGGGCTCAGGTTGTTCTTTTCTCTCTCCGACGACTTCTTTGACAGTGGTGTTCACTCGGGAAGAACTAGCATCTCGGCGATTGACTGCCCGGTTGTAACATTTTCTAGCCGATTGGACATCGCCCCGCACTACTCCGACCCCGGCAGGGGTGGGGAACTTCATGCACAAGTGGGGCATCGATATGATTCCGCCGACCCTCATAATAGTCGGTCGACCCAAGATGACGTTGTGGACACAGTGAAGGTTGACCACAACAAATTCCAACTCCATTTTCACAGACCTTGGTGGGGTGCCGATCTCAACCGGGAGTATGATCTTGCCTTCGGGGCGAATAGTAGCCCCGGTAAATCCTTACAATGACACGCCGACTGGAATCAGCTCTTGTTTGTCCAATTTTAACTTCTCAAACACGTCCAAATAAAGGACGTCCACACTGCTCTCGGTATCCACCATCACACTCTGGACATCGGTTCCTATAATGCCAATCGTGATAACCAGGGCTTCCATGCCATGATCGCCGCTTTCCGGCTGGTCTTCCAGAGTGAAGGTGATGGGCTCCATCTTTTGCTTCTTACCGGTTTTCCGGGAGTCGACGATCGCGACCGGGCAACTTTCCCGAGGTCGGGAAGCATCTTCCAAACCTCCGAATATGACGTGGATGGTCGGTTTGGACGCCGGTCGGGAGCTAGATGGAGGATCGGGATCTCATCGATCTTGATCTCTGCGATCGGAGCGATGATGAGATCGCCTTTGGTCTTTTCTCTCGCCCACTCTCTTATTCTCTTCTCTTTTCCCCACACATTTGTCCAGCTTTCCCAAGTTAAGCAAATCTTCCAACAGCTGTTTTAAATGTATGCACTCCTCCGTGTCATGTCCCGCACATCGATGGTAGGCACAATGTTTCGTCTTATCCGGCCCATCTGGTCCCGGTTGAGGTAGACGGATAAGGTTG